ACGGCTGCCTGATTCCCCCTGATTCACACCAGAAAATCACTGTCATCCTGGTTCACATTTATTTGCTGCAAGAATAAGGGATTTTTTGCTTATGTGTATTTCTATGTAAATGGGAGATTTTAATCATTCTATGCAGCTGTGCATAAAATTCATATATAGATCCTCATGTATCTTATCTTATTTTGCTCATTTTGAGATCCGAGTTCACAAAAAACTTTCCCAATAGACCAAGGATTTTAAATTTCACATCACTAATCCCAGCAGTTTTCTTCAGTTTGTCTCGTTTATTTTCACTTATTTGAATGTATTAACCTGAACTTTCAATGATGCAGTGAATATTGATCTGACTTATTACTTAGTTTAGATACTGAGCAAGAGTTTTGACTAACAGGCAGTTTATGTGTGGCTGAAGTTCTTTCCCAGTTGCACCAAATCTAGAACCAGTTTATTAAATGAGAAAGTATTTTGCCTTTTTTTCTCTTCCCCCACCCCCACCTTAACACCCAGCAGAACCAGGCACTGATGAGCTCCTCTTTTCTAAGGGTCAGACATAGCAGACACCTCCAGATTCCCAACTGAGCTTAACTCTGTCATGCTGGAAACAGAGAGAACTACTTTGCTGTTTAATAAATGGTATCTTGAAACAAGTAAATTTTAGGGAGCTTCAAAGCAATGCAGAGGCAAGCCCTAATCTAGAGCTTCTGCCCACAGTGACACTYGGTGCTCCTGCCAGATGTTCCTCACAGTTCTGATGCCAGAAGTCCATATTGGTCAGCGGCAAATTATGTGAAAAGTTTAGTTCAGAGTCAYTCCTAGTAATTTAGTAAGAGATTTTTGTTTGGTCCAGAAAGTTTCTCATCTGAGAGATCCGAAGAAAAAATAAAGTACTTACCTCCTCTGGTTAATCTTATTTAGTCAGTGGTTCTCTGGAAGCTGTCTCCATCTCCTTCACCAAGGACGTGGTTTGTGCTGCTTAAAAAGCAATTAGAAGAAAACRTCTTCAAGGCTGGCATTATTTATATTGTGAATTAAAGCCAATCTTTACATTAGATGTCCCAACAGAATGTTTGCTTCAAGCGTGTTTCTCACTGGGTTGATTACTTCTCTGGGAAGACCTGCCAGGTCTGTAATTGTCCCCATGTCATAGATCCAGGAATTCAAGTCAGGAAATCTGTTCTCTGTGCCTTGCTCACCTGAACCTCTCTCATGAAGCAGGACAGGGTCTCTTCTGTTTCAGAAAATTCTACATGGAAGTTTTTTCTTCATGACAGCTTTTCCCACATGTTTTATGTCTGGTCACTCAAAGCCAGGACAGTATGAGGATAAACAAAGTCTTACAGAGCTGGCAGCAGCTGGGAGACCACAAAGTCAGACACAAATGCAGCTTCAAGACAACAGGCAGAAAACGTAGTCTTTTTTAAGAAGGGAGAAAATAATTAAATTTTTATCCTCTTCCAAAATTTATTTTGGGAAGCTATATTTGATTTATGGGATTTACTTATAATTTTTCTTATATTAATTTTTATCATGTATTTTAGGGAAGCAGAATGAAAAATTTGGAACAAAATTCTTAGGAGAAGGATGATTTTTGTGCTTGTTGTAATAATTCATGACTACTCTGTGGTAAGGCTGCAGACCTGATTCATCACTCTTGTATTCTAGTTTAATGCCAGTGAAATGAGACTGATTTCCATGAGTCTGGCATGAAGCTGGAATAACAAGATGGTGAATCAGGCACTATAATTCCCTTCTGAGATTCATGTGATGTAAACAAATACATTCATATTGACATTTGAGGTTTGTAATGTCTCCAATTTCTTCCAAAATAGATTATGTTTACCAGAATGCATATTTTAAAGAAAATTTGATCTGTGTAATTTGTGAAAGGTGGTTTTATTTCRTTTTCTTGTGGCTGTGCAGTTTGAAGTGGGTCCTTAGGTCTGTGTGTGTGATCAGAGATGTAGACACTGTGTGGAGCAGATGCTGTTGTGGGCAGCAGGAGGGAAAGGATGRTTGTTCTTTTCCTTTAGAGGCTGACTTTGAGCACCTTTAGGAAGGATTCGGTCTAACAAGAGAGATGGCAGCCCCTGCTCTCAGTACTAGTAATGCCTACTTGAATACTGAAGATGGGAAATACAGAACTGAGTAAATAACTGATTTACCTGGGGAAAAAACTGAGTGTCCAAACTGCAGATCCATTTGGCCCGTAGTATTTTAGTGACGTACAAAGGGCTGGTTACAGACAGCAGCTAGTTGGGAAAAGCTGTGCTGTGATCTCTGAGACACAGTGATGACGAGGTTCCTTGGTGACAGTGCTCTCAGCACAATGTGGGACCTTTCCCAAACTGCACACCTCAGCTGCAAGCGCCTGACAGGAGAGAGAGGCATGCAAATGCCTGTGTGTGCAGCAAATTCCTCTCTGCCCTGTTTTCATTAAYGCTTGCTGTACAGATCTTGTTATCAGTGCTCCCTCAAGGGCCAGGCAGTCATTTGGATGCTGATYAGTGAGTGAGATGCAGCAGCACTGCAGCTCTGCTCCCTCTGTCAGCACTGCAATGAGGAGGGGAGCATTCCAGCATTCCCTTTTTTTTCTCCCAGCTACGCCCACCACAGCAGCAGCTCACGGGACTCTAAGGAGAGGCTTCTGCAGTGGGAATATTCTCAGAAACTTATACACACTCCAGGAGGGCTTGCCAGCTTATTTCTTTGTCATTAAATGAAATGACATCTAAAAMCCATAGTCAAGTTTTCATTGATAGACTATGACAAATAAAAAACAGCAAGTGAAAATCAAACAATTACYTGCATAAGCACTTTTTATGATTGTCTTTTTGGAAATTTTTTTCCTTTTCTTACCTTGGTGGTTTAGTAAAAAGCAATGAGATGCTAGCTGATGTGGCAAGGTGTAGTTGGGACTCCGGCAAATAAATATTAAGTACWTTTTGATGGCTCCAGACTAAACATTGTGTCCCTAAAGTCTGTCATTAGGCTCATTTCTTCCAGATCCAAACCATGACTTTAAAATATTCTTTAACTAAAACCTGTTATAGGCATGCACCTCATGGGCCATTCCCACTAATTTGGGCAATTAAAGATTACTGTGTTTATTACTTTTAAGGCAAAATTTAGACATTATGACAAAAACTAATCAAAYCCAAACCTATCGACCCCCTGTGATTTTTATCTGTTCAACTGTGCTTTCCCAAGGAAAATTCCAAACTCTCTATAAGAAGCTTTCTCCAACAATTATACCAGCCCCTTACTGAGTTTCTTTTGTGTAAAAGCAGGCCTCTGACCAGTTCTGTTTCTCCAGTGCCTGAGTGAAACCCTACAGAAAAGGCTTTCATTTGCTCTTGCCCAGGGGAAAGCAAGCAGGGTACTTAGCTGGATGAGATAAGCCTTTGCTGGATGAGACCACAGCAGAGCCCGTGGGTGATCTCAGAGGCCAACTCTTTTAAAAAAGGTCACCTCTTGCATAGCTGCTCCGAGTGCATTAACATTATCCAGGGGGAGAMGCAAGGCAGATGAATTTTGATCTCACTCTAAAACCACCACAAAGCCACTGTCCCCAGCACGGACAGTGGAGATCCACAAAGAAGGGATCTGCAGCACCAAGCAGGTTTCATTCCAGCCACCACCAGCCTCCTGCCTCAGTTCTTTTCTGACTTCAAATAAGGACACCTCTGGGGGAGCTCAGCTTTTGAGCTCAGCACGGCTGGAGGGCTGTGCTAATAAAGACTCAAAGAGCTCTGCTCATCAACTTTTTGGGAGATAACCCCCCTGGGGATTTCTTTAACCTATTTCAGCAACAGAGTTGGACCARGACTTGTGGGTTTCCCTGCAAGCGGGTGAGATTTTGCCCTGGGTAAAGGCTAAAGCTTAGAACTCTGATGCTGAAAGGGGTCTCTGCAGGCAGATGGGCTTTCAGAAGTGACTTTGCATAAAAATCTAAGGCTTTGTTTCAGAAAATCTGTGTATGTATCTGGAGTCATGGAAATACCCTTTAGACGGAGCTAGCCCTTCATTGCTTATTTATTTGTCTGAGAGTACTTAGAAAATCCTGAAATCCTGTTTATTTTGCCAGCTGCTGCTCCAACCTACTTGAGGTAAGGATCACACATGGCTCAAGCCTAGGATCAAGACCTGAAACACAGAGAGCTGCTGGTGGCATTTTTTGCTCCTTATGCAAGCCTCAGCTTGAGTTTAAAAAATTTATTTTTAATCTGGGCAAATTTAGATTTCAGGAAGGAATGGGACATAATTTGCTCTTCATTGTTCTTTGCTGAAAGTTCCTGATTTATTCAAATTTCAGACTTTAAGCTAAATCCAGTATCCTTTATTAAAAAAGAAGTCCAAAGTTGACTCATTGRAGTGTGTTGGTGTGCAACCAATGAGAAATGCTGCAAGCATATAAATAATCACCCATTTAACCAGCCTGACTTCATACCCCAAAGTGTTTTATGGACTTGAATAGACACTGTTACACTGAAATAGACACTGCTGTACTTATTTACAGGTAGGGAAGTCAAGGAGGAGGTCAGTGACCTTACCAAAGTTCAYGCAAATGTCAATGGCAGGAAACTGGCTTCCTGATTGTCCTGTCTAATCCTGCATCTGGGGGATCACACTTTAGTAATCAACACTGGTTTCAACACTTTTTAACCCTGAGTATGAGTGATTTGAATATCTTTCTGAGAGAGGTAATGGGAGATRCTTACATTAAAAAAATCCAGTGTGTCAATGTTTGCAAGATGCAGAGATACAATGCTAAAGAATGCCATAGAAAATTCAATCCAGCTGCATGGGTTGGCTCATCCCCCTCTAACACAGCACACCACAAACAGCCAATATCTAGAGAATAAGTTAGATGAAATGATACTGCCTAGATCTAATTCTTTTGTCAGACATATATTTACAGATCTGTTCAGGGCAGAGTTACAAGTGTTAGCACTGAGAAACACTTCTGTATTAACTTTTCTCTTTCTGTATTTTTTCTCTAGAAAAAGACGAGAAGAGAACAAATATCTCACAGGCAGAGGTAAGGGATTTTGTAAAAAAATATATTTATTGTTAAAATAGGTCTGTTGTTAAAAACCCTTGGAAACTTTATCCTGAGTTTTGTTTACATTGTCATGCCATCTGCAGTAACACAGYCTTTCAGGAACTGTCCTTTTCAAACCAGGGCTGTGTAAAGCTGYGTTGTGTGTTCTGCCATCTCTCTGTTCCCCTGCAGCAGGGAGCTGGGAGAGGAAAGCTGCCCCTCTGCCTTGCTGCCATGCCCTGTCAAAGCACAGGAAACCCGAGGTGACCCTGCCAGGTCTCCAAGCACTGCTGTGGATCTGCAGGTCACTGGGGGGCCACCAAAGCATTGCAAACACTCCTCTGCTCTCTCCATCACTTGTCAAGCCTGCAGTGCAGYGGTGTWGTTTGCACAGGAGTTAAATGTTGTCTCCTCCAATCTCATTTTCTRACCTCCCCTTGCACAGTTCCCCCARTTCCCTGATCTCCTTCKCCTTCACCCACTGCTCAGAGCAGCAGGCCTCGCTTTAAATAACAGCAGCAGGTATTGATTGGTCCAAATTTGAGCTCCAATACAAACTTATAAAGACTTACTGGCATGAGGTTCACCAAGCTATCCCATAGTGTTTATAAATAGCTTTCTCTTTCCAAAGAAGACAATATTTTATTTATAAATGTTATCATTCTATCCACAGAATGTGATAAGGATTAGCCCCACTTGTGTGAAAGAGGTTCTGTTAAGAGCCCCCTCAAGAGTTCCATGAAGAAATAGATCTGATTAAAGGACACCATCTATATATTAGGGATTTTTAGCAAGTATTTTGGAAAAGGCAACATCATCATTACAATTAGAAATTGATGAAATGAGGGGGAAAAGAAAGGTTGCCTACACAGAGCTTTTCCTTAACCATTTGGTTAGGAGTGCATTCTGGCGCTTATGTTTTCCAAAGCTAGCTAAGGGTGTACTGTATGTAGCTTTATTGTCCTTTTTATGTAKACAATACTTCATGTTGGTATAATATTGACAACAACTTTCATTTTGCAAAAGCTGCTCTGCTTTAGCACCGAATGTACTCCAGTTAGTTTTTGCTAACTGAACATTGGTATAATTATACCAATTATATTGGTTATTGAGTTATCACTCAATGTGTAATTTTACTACCATTATTTTTCAATAATTTGTCTTTTGTGCACAGATGTAATTTTGGGGCCACAAAAAGTTTAACTATGTCTAAATACAACATTTAACGCTCAGTTAAAAGCTGAGTGATTGGCTGCTGAAATTATTATCTTATGTGCAATAAGAACACATTGAAAAGGTGCAGGGGAGGGATTTTCCACTTATTATGTTAAAATATATATATTCATATTTCAGTGCTACCTTACCCATACATATAATCACTGATTACACTGTACTTAATTGGAATAATGGTTATTGTAAACCATGCAACTATTTTAATTTATGTAAATRTTTGTGAGAATCAATTACACAGACTCTTGAAAGTACAGGCTATCCTAATTCTATGTTTAACAGTATTTTTATAGAGTGAAGGGTAATTTTCAGTAATGTTGGGTCAGCCTTGCCTGGRGGGTCATAAAGGTTGTCCATTAAACACGTGTTTTTGTCTGTCTAACCTTAGTCATGTATGCATAAAAGCCCAGGAGCTRGCATCAGCTGTGCACAGTATATTTTTTTTTCAGAAGCTCTCGATGGGTGTGTGCCCATCTGAAAGCAGCTGTGGGGAAAGCCCCGGAGCTGCTGAGCACCAAAAGCTCTGGCTGTGCCCATCCACTCATTCCTGTCCCTGTGTTGTCCCTCCACAGTCGCAGAGCGCGTCTCCCAAGCAGAGGAAGCAGAGCGTCTTCACCCCTCCTGCGCTCAAAGGTACCGTGTGAGTGCTGCCCTGCCCTGTCCTGCCCTGCCCTGTCCAGCCCTGTTCCCACCCCTGCAGGTGGCTCTGCCCACGAGTGGCACATGGCATCACTGCCCTCACACTGAGGTCACTGTCCACACCTGAGCTCCTGCCTGATGTTGGCCATCTCTTTATCCTCAGCACAGAACCTTGCTGAAGTCGCAAAAAAGTTTTAATGTTTTGATTCGTTTGATAGAGCAAATAATTGAATGCCAAACTTTGAACAGTGCTCCTTGAATAAGTAAATTCTGTTAGTGCTAGCCCCATGAAATTCTCTGCTTCTTCTTTGAAACTTCTCCCCCATATTCTGCCTCTCTTTCCAGGCAGCTGTGAAAAGGAGAATAACCAAAACTGTGGGCTGGGTATCTGATCATAGCAAGTGTGAAGCCTTTCTTGGGAAGATAAGGGAAAATGAGAAGTCTTGTTAAAAATTTTGAGGGCTTACGTGCTTTTTAGGAATACATACAAAAGCAGCAGAATATAATCTAAGATCAGAACAGCTACATTTAGGCCTTGCTTCTTAAGTAATTCTGAACAGAATTTGACATGATGGTGCTGTCAGTGAAGCAAGATCTGTAAGGATTCACCAGCACTTCTGACTGACACTTGTCAGGGCAGGATTATTTTCGGGCTACAGACTAAAGGYCATCCTGCCAGGTGTGTTTTGATAGATAATGAATGTGTAAACTTCCATTAGTCTGCTTAAAACAATTTATGAGCTGGCAGAAAAGGTGGGATATCTGATTTGCTGTGTGTGAAATAGTGCCGCTGTCATGAGGTAATTGACCACATCAGCCAATCCTCTGTATCTCATTCTGTAGCTTCAGTTCTCTCACACTTGTTGTAGCCACAGTAACAATATCACTCAGCTGCCACACAAGGCTATCTGTTTGTCAAAATGGGCTGAGGTTTGTGTGCTGGATATTAGAAATAATCTTGTTATGTTCAATTACAGTATTCTTTTCTGGAAGGAAAATGCTCTGCATGGATAGCAATAATACCTATTGATCTCGCTGCTGCATTATTTTGCTGTACAAGCCTAAACTAAACACTGTGCAAATGCAGTGCTGTGTAAAACAGGTCCTCGTGTCTCCTCTCAGGAACTGCAGCCTGCACAGTGCTACTTAAAACATCCTGCTGAGACCTGGGGAAGTGCCTGGCATAGTTTGCTTCTACATCATTTTAATTCTCAGGGAACAGTAGAAAAGTAGAGGATCATGTGATTTAAAATAGATCCCAACTAACCCGAAATATCTTGTAAACAGCACAAAGCAGAGTGCAAAATGCCTCTTGTCCATACCTGAGCACCCCAAATTACACTGTACTCCCAGACAGACAAGTGGACCCTTGGAAGCTGATAACCCTCCCTGTAAACAGACAAGATGGCTCCATCTTTACAATTTACCATGTTATTGTCACAAATGCCATCTTTTTAATTTAAAAATTTCCTAATGGAAAATTCATTGTTCTCCCTTTCTCCCTCTCCCATTCATGAATACATGAATGTTTTTTTTCTTAACTAAGGGACTGTGAGGCAAACATGTAACAGTATCAAATACGCAGTGCTGTGAAATACACAAAGCCATATCTACTGAGAAGTACAGAGGTTTTGTAATGATTTAAAATATTCTAATTTTACAGCAGTTGAAGATAACACTATTCTGCAGTATTTCAGAGTAACAGGCTTCACAACTGCACACTCCTCCTCAAATTTGAGCATACATATATATATATATATATATATATATGTATGTATGTATGTATATACATAAATATTTCCTGTACACTGTTTTCCCCTCATTATATTCATAATATGTTATTCAACATACAATAAAATAAAAAACTAAAATTATGTCTGCTCCATACCACCTAAGGCTTTTATTAGTGGAAGGTGATATAGACTTTAATCCAGTACCTTACATTTAAAGCTGGAGATAATAAATGCAGTGGACAAGAGGGACAAATATTTTCATTAGTTAACCTCTCTGGAATTTTAGTAGTTTGAAGTTGCTGTTAACTCAAAGTTTCCAGAAATAAGCCAAGCTTGCAGTCAGTGGCCTGAGCCTGGAAGCCAAGACAGCAGTCATGTGTGGAGAGCTGGGGATAAAGGAGAGACCATGACAGGAGCTTTGCTCTGTGCCTGCAGCAGAGAGGGATCAAGAGAAKCCATGGGAAGAGTCTGCTTCAGCCTGACACCAGATCTCCAAGTAGCTGAAAATATTTTTTGTGCAGTTTTTATAAGGTTCTAGAAATAATTATGAAATGGTGTGAGAAAGACTGCTGGTTTCTAAATTCTGGTGAAGCAGGAGAGAGAAAGAGGAAGTGAATGTGCATATTGTGGTTATAGAAACTCATATAAAATGGGAAATTGTTGGCATGGTTGAAAAGAGCAGAAACAACATCAGCCAATGGTGATGATTGGTTACAATACCAGAAGTACAGTACATCTTACATGAAATMTCCAAATACATGAACATATTTGCCATAGCACTGAGTAAACTAAAATTCAGTGCTAATATCTGTGTAAGATCATCCCCAAAKATTCTAATTCTATTGTTACAGCAGCTTGCTCTAGCTCAAAGCCAGGCTGTGGCTGCTGTAGCAAACCTGGTGCAACAAGCATGTTGTTATTCCGTATATCAATACTTTGGCTCTTGCTTTGATTTTCCTAAACAAAAACACACCAAAGGTCCTACAGACAGAGCAAATAGMTGACTCATCTCAGAGCAYTGTTCTTTTTACTGGAATATATTGTGCTGGAAAAATCAATGTGAGAGCTATTGATTCAAGTTGTAATCTGGAGAGGGACTCAGGGAGCCAACCAGATAACAGCTCAGCATGGTGTGCTTCTTAGGATTATATTACCAAACCTAATGGATGTCAAAGAGGTTTTCCATTTTGCATTTRTAGATATTTCTTCTCCTAAACTGTCAGACTAGTGTTTGTTAATCCTATGCTCTTATGTAGCATGCAACATTGGCAGAAATCAGTATCTGGAGATTGCACCAAACTAATCCATCGTATTTTCTGTATGTTGTGATTCATGTCTTGTCACAGTTTCTTCTATGAGTAGCACCAATCTTAACTGAGGATTCACCACCTCTAGTTCCCCTCTTTGTATCACCTTTTCTTCTGTTACTCATGCTTTTATACCTGAACTTCAAATTTTCTCATCCTTTAAAGTCTTCTTCTTCATGTGTGAAGTTTGGCTTGAACTTCCCTAGGAAAAATACCATAAAAACAACCACAGGAATGCTTCTCAATTTGAATAGTCATGGTTTTACCTGGGGCAGTGCTTTCCAGTCACTTCTYATTGTGTAAGGCCTTTTTCTCATATTTAATGAGAAAATCTAATGTGCTTCCTGTATGACAAAACCAAGAAGAATCCTCTGATCCTTTTCTGAAGTAATGTTCAAAGTGGATTAGCACAAAGATCCATCCATCCATAAATGCACAAGGAGCATCTTTAGAAATACCTTCATTGTTCTGCTGGAAGGGTTACAGGAACCTTGTTGGAGTCTCATTTTTTTTTACCCTCACCTTGCCAGAGAAGTCTAAAATGGGATGATAACTCTCCCAGACAGAGAGGGACCAAGTGAAGGCATCTCAGGATGCCAAGGCAGAAGCAGATTGCACTTAGCCCAGGTAATGGTGCTTTCTTGGTGTCTCATTACCACTTGAAAATCAAAAGAGCATGTTTGAGCCTCAGAGCTGCAACTGCAGCTTGCCCTCCCAGGGCATGTTTTGTGCTGAGGCAGGTTTTTTTGGCCTAGGTRGTCATGTTTTGTTTGGTATCTCAGCTCATCCTGGGAAGAAAATGCAGACACAGTGACAGGAAGCAAGGTTTACGAAGACTAACGAAGAGAGCTCGAGCTGTTCCCAAACCTGCATTGCTCCCTGGAGGTCCCAAATCCCCCCATTATCCACAGCTACTGTTATTAATACTAGTGGCTATTTAAATACCATCAAGGTCTCCCCCTGTGAAGGAAGTGCACGTTCCCAAGTGATTTGAGGATTTCATTACCAGTGAGTCTACGGCGTGGATGTGCCAGGGGTCAGGGAAATAGGAAATTAGTTCACTCTGCACGAGGCTGATTATATCAGATCGAGATCCTACTAATTTCAGCAGGTTTTAAAGGAAGTTCTTATAGCTGTCTGCGTTCACTGGCCCACCTTTGCAATGAAGAGCCATCAAGTCACAATTGARGTCATTCCCCACACAAGCGAGAGATACATTTGACTGTTTTCCCTCTCTACCTTTTGGGAAATACATGCTTTAAATTCCCTTGTTAATGTATTTTTCTTTTCATTAAAACAAAGGCTTCTACTTGAACTAGGCCCCAAGATTTTAAAGGGGATTAAAACAGATTTATAAATCTAAGGAACATTCAAAGACATTATTTTGGTTTGAGTTATTAAAACAACCAGAACTCACTGGCTTTTCCCAAAGTGTTCAGACCCAGGGATTTGAGATATGCATAATTCTMGTATTTTCAATGATGGTTGATATTAAATGAGCTCTCTCTAGCTTCTGCCATGAATTTCAGATGCTCCTCTTGTTTAGTGCCTGCTTGCTCTTCTCTCCAAAGGAAACAAGATGCAGAATAAATGATTAAAATCATGATGTCCCTCCTGAAATATGTAATTTATTAGAAGCAATTAGTACAGTATGTGGCCCTCATCCAAATTTGTAACCCCTTAGGCCAGCTGGATGATGTCTGATGCATCTCATTACTTTGTGACTGAAGGTTAACAACAAACATGGGCAGAGTCTGGAGACATTAAGGATTATTGTTAGTATGGTAAGCACTGAATCATTGTGGAATAAAAATCTCAGGCTAAATTTACTTCAAGCGGCAGAGGAGTGAAGTTTGTAAGTCTTTAGCAGTGACTACAAAAACTTGTATCATTTTACAGGCTGCCTCCTTACATGGTAAACTCTGTGAAGAGCTTCCAGTGTTAACTAAACACA